TGCGCCTGTAGAAAGTGAGCGGCTTTGAGGTCGGTTCGGTAGGTAGACACTTACCACTAGCTGTGGTGAGTGGAAGAAAAACTGTTCGCCAACTTGGTATCGTTCCGGCCCGAAGTACGTGTTGTAACCTGTCGGGAACTCGTATTGGCGTGGTGAACGAGACGCCGCAGCTCTGTGAGTTCACGATGAGAAAGATTGAAAACGTGCACGAAAGTAACCTACTGGTCGTTCCATCCTTGATCAAGAACACCAGCAACGCTCTGTATCCATTCTTCAACTTCACGACTCTCACACCAAACCCTCCAGCTTTCCGTCGTTCCAGATATACGGTCTTCACGGAGGGTAAACCTTGGTGGCGCACCAGGCTCGACAGGCTGAGTTATGTCATATTGATAAAATGAGTAATTCGGGTATGATAAACAACGCACCAGTTTATTGGCGATAAGTTGATGGGGGAGAAGTTCGATTCCACGACGTGTCTGCGTTGGGTTACTCAGGATGTGTCGGGCATGGGCTTGGACGAGTTTAGGTAGCGCAGATGATACCAAGCCTACGAGATGTGAGAATGAGGAAGGCCAAACACGATCGACGGCAGACGCACCTTTTCGTAGTACGAAGCCATCGACTACTGGAGTGATACTTGCCATTGCATGCCCAACATCGATCACTAGTGCTGAGCCCTTCCCTGCTGCAAAACTGCTCCAAGATTGAAGACATTAACACCACATAGAAAGTAAATCAAATCTTACGCATTCAAAACGCCAGTATTGGCGATGTAGAAGGCAGGAACATGGAACTCCTCGAACATAATCTCTGCCATTCTTTCTCTATTTGCGGGTGTGTTCCAAGCTGGCTCGGTCACGAGGATGGGATGTTCTGAAGGATTGACTCGCATAACGTCGACTAGGGCATGCGAGATCAAAGCAGGGACTGGATTAAAGTCAAAAACTGCATAGTTTAAATATTAATACCATCCATGAACAGAATGTAAAGTTACTTACTCAACGCATCCCGTATAGGGTTCCCAATTTCCATGCCCTCTCTCCAGATCGAAGGGCCATTCTGCCCGAGGTAAAGTTTCGCGTCACTTGGGGTTTGTTTGGCGGTTGAATCGAAGTTTTCTGGTGCGTTTTCGCTCATCTGCACGTCGCCATCCCCTGAGGTCGCCTTATAGCCATAAAACGACGGGATAATGGCCTTGGGGATATCATCCCCGGCGTACCCTGCGCGTACGGATGAGGAGCCTATATCAAGAACCAAAGCAGATACTTCATCTGTGTAAAATGTGTCAAAGTCGTTATCTTTTTATCCAGCGATGATCACTGACCTCCTCCGTAGTTGACCATCGCGGTTTATACTAGACGGTAGTATACCCGATCTAGATCTAACAAACATCTAGGGGTCACGTGATTCAGACCGAAAAATGAGATTGGTGAAACTTGGTATGATCCTTCACGTCCCTTCTTGAAACTTTTCTCAAACATGGCGGTTACTGGCCTTGGGAAAGTGCGGAACAAGCGCAAGCAGGAGGAGGTTGAAGAGGTGGAAAAAGGTCCTTTTGCTGGGGTAGTGGATTTGGAGATGCACAGCGAAGACGAAGCAGAGGATGAGGACCGAGAGGGGGACGATGCGTCGGACGATGGAGACGTAGACGAATTCCCAGAAATTGATGCTGCCAGTGACAGCGACGAAGAAAGCGACGAAGAGGAAGAAGAAGAAGAAGAAGAAGAAGAAGAAGAAGAAGACGACGCAGATGACCTTGACGAAGAAGACACCTTGGATGAAAACTCTGACGCCGACTCAGACTTGCATATATTTCCAAAATCTAAAAAGGTGGTTTCCAACATCACTGGACAGACAAAAGTTGTATACCCAGAGATTGAACCTGACTATGATTCGGACTCCTCGACAGAAGATGTAAGTAGGTTCTAGCTTTTTCCTATACATCCTTGTCAATATGATGCAATAATCTCTCAGGATCCTAACCGTGTTGGAAACATACCAATGCACTGGTACGATGACCTACCCCACTTAGGCTACAATATCAATGGCAAAAGAGTGTTGCGTCCAGCTAAAGGCGACGAACTCGATAGATTCCTTCAAACGGTAGAAGATCCCAATTCATGGTACGCAATAATCTCCTTCCAGTCAGGTTATGCGCTAATGTGTTTCAGGACAACTGCTTTTGACAAAAATACCCAAATGGACAAACCATTATCCGCTGAAGAATTAGACATCATTCGCAGATTGCAGGCTGGGGAAAATCCTGATGCTGAATACGACCCATATGAACCTACCATTGAGTGGTTCACTGGTAAAGGCAAAGAAGAAGTCATGCCTCTCTCATCGGCCCCAGAACCAAAGCGCAGATGGCTACCAAGTAAATGGGAGAAGCAAAAGGTCTACTTTCTTTTAGGTTCCATGTTACACTTCCTTATTTTATTATTTCCAGATCATGAAGATTGTTCGTGCTATCCGCCAGGGTCGAATCGTGGGATCCAAGCCTAGTGCAGCGGATAAAAAGCAGCAATTCTATGCCATATGGAACGAGCCACCGTCTAATCAGCCGCCCCCGTTACCAGCCCCCAAACCAAAGCTTCCTACGAATTCAGAATCCTACAATCCCCCCGAAGAATACTTACCAACTGAAGAGGAACGGAAACAGTGGGAGAATACCGACCCCGAAGACCGCGAACGAGACTACCTTCCTCACAACTATTCTGCGCTTCGTTTGGTTCCCGCATACGACCAGTTCATCAAGCAACGTTTCAATCGCCAGCTTGATCTCTATCTTGCACCACGGATACAGAGGGTGAAGCTCAATGTCGACCCAAACAGCCTACTGCCAAAACTACCAAGCCCGAATAGCTTACGGCCGTTCCCCAACTACAAATCACTGCAATTCATGCATACCAAAGCACGAGTCAGGTGTCTAAGCATAAGTCCTGATGGCGCGTGGGTGGCTAGTGGTGACGAGAGCGGAGTGATCAGCCTCTGGGAGGTTAACGTGGGGCGAGAGGTCAAGCGTTGGAACCTGGGCAGCAAAGTCGGCGCCATTGAATGGTGCCCAAGACTTGACGCTTGTTTCCTCGTCGCCGGGACGTAAGGAGTAGTTGTCCGCCACAATTATCACATTACTGACAAGTGCCTTAGGGAGGAACGACTACATTTTTTCATACCGCCAAATATTTCTCCTGCCATGTTGACCACGACGCAGTCAATTCTGGCACCTGCCACTCTCCCCCCTACTACTCAGTCATCAATTAAATGGATATCGACATCCGGAGCTGCTGAAGACGGCCCTATTTTGACCATTGAACTTCCAAGCGCATCTGGACTGTCAAGACAGCTGACTTGGCATAGAAAGGGAGATTATCTAGCTTCAGTCTGTAAGCAAAAAGGTTTTGCAAGTACTTTCTAAAAGCTAATAGGCCCTCATTTACAGCTAGCAGCGAGACTCAAGGTAGTGTTTGGATGCATCAGATCTCACGCCGGCATTCGCAGGCGCCGTTCAAAAAAATCAAGGGTGCTGTTCAGATGGTGTTATTCCATCCTACGAAACCCCACTTCTTCGTTGCGGTACGTGTTCCACTTGCCGAGCTCCTTCTTGTGTTCATTCCAATGTAATAGACCCAACGTTATGTCAGACTGTATAATCTGGCTGAGCAGAAGCTGCTGAAAACTCTCATGCCTGGCATCAAATGGATATCGTCGATGGACGTACATCCGTCCGGCGACCATATCATTGTCGGCGGCTACGACCGAAAGCTGTGCTGGTTCGATCTAGAACTAAGCGAAAAACCGTACAAAGTTCTTCGGTAAGTTATTCGTTTCAATCCAAAATCGGTCATTAATTTCGGCGACTTGCCACCAGCTATCACTCAAGAGCCATTCGATCACTGCATTTCCACCCAACCTACCCTCTGTTTGCGTCTTCATCTGACGACGGCTCGATCCAAATTTTCCACGCAAGGGTCTACAGTGATCTTATGACGGATCCGCTCATTGTACCCCTCAAGATATTGCGCGGCCATGATGTCCAGGAGGGACTTGGTGTGCTCCAAATCAAGTGGGTTAACAAGCAACCATGGTTGGTTAGCGCAGGGGCGGATGGCAGTGTCTCGATGTGGTGTAGTTGAAGATCAGTCCTTTGTCTGAGTTTGGACCATGAAATAATCCTTTTGTTGAGTTTGAATCTTCGAATTAGCGTGGCTGTGAATCTGAGCATGACGGAGGTGGGCACCAAACCGCCACACTATGATATGTCACCAGAACAGGGAATAATGTTAGGGTATCACTGACCAGTGATATAGATAATGCGGTGTGTAGCTCAATGTCGAATCTCTATCACCTATCTTATCTTGAATCTCAGGCAGGATCTCCAACATCCGCCGAGTTCGTACAGTTCACTAGATTAACTAAACATCACCAAGTGGAGAATCATCTGTTACTGCTACTAGGGCCACGAGTCGCAGCTCCGATCCAGCAGTCCAGTGCAAGTCTATTTTCGGAAGCCCGTATTTGTACACTCCGAGGATTTGATAGTCTCCAGTGCCCTCGTTCAGTGGAAACCAAGTACATGAAACGACCGCTGGACAATGAATCCTCGCGCTTTCACCTTCTGTTAACAGTCGCATCTTGTCCCTCGGTAGCATCTACCTAGTGGCGACTCCGCTGCTAGATAAAGATGCTGACATGCTCAGTCATGGCAACTAAGTGCTAACACGAATATCATAGCCCCGTACAAGGAAATTTACCTCTGCCTGCGAGTGCATGCATGCCTGAGAGGTACGTAACAGTCCAATAAACACTTTCCTGGTTCCTGCTGCGACGGAAAGAGGTCTCGACGCCACGTCGATCAGGACTGAATGTTAATTCTTGAATACCTTATCAAGGAGGTATATATATCCGATGGAACACGTCAAGTGATTCAGTTTACTTGCTTCCTCATCTATTGGCTTTCTCGCCGTCGTTCGTTACATCGTCCCAAGTCAATCACAATGGTTGATTGGAAAACCTCGAAGGAAATAAAGGCAGAAGGCAGTGAGTATCATGCTGAATTTCTAGGAATTTCCTACTCTGATCATTTTACTCTTGTAGTCGCTTTCACTAAGGTGGTCTATGTGCTGTTTGGAATTTACATATGGGAAATCTGCACGACTGGCGGATTCGAGTTATCTGTGTTCTTGGGTAGGCGCAAGCTGGCTTGGCCTTTGGTGCGTCTATCTCTCATCTATAATCGTGGCTGACCTTGATGACGGTTACAGAGTATGTGTATTAACCATTGGCAATTTTCTGATGCTTATGTGGTCTAAAGTTTTCTTCTTTCTGTGCCGTTACAGCATGCTCTTTTCTTTCATTGGATTGTAAGCTGCTAAGCTATCCCAGTACTTCGCGTTACTGACTCAAGTCAATTCTAGGATCATCTTCGTTAATATATCCACGAAGGTAACATTGCGTTTCCCTAGAAAATAAAGTAACTTATCCTCATCCTCGGTTAGATTGATTGTAATGCAAGTACCGTTTCCCATGTGCGGACTATGGGCTGACATTAATATTGGTCATCCTGAAGGCCGTGTACACGTTCACTTTTGTGAGCTAATGGAGACATCATTAGATTGATTGAAACTAATATGATACTCGTAGGTCGCAGGCAATTTAACAATTCTAAGTGCCTCCACTTCGCTGATGATTAGAACGTAAGTACTGCCTTGCTTTTATTGTAAGTCACTGACCTCACCTTCGAAGCATGACGCTTTGGGAGTGGGAACGTCGGGCAGTTCTGTCGATGCTTGCCTTGTCATTTGGGAAGTGTGCGATCCTAATTGGCACCATAATGACCGTGCAAGCATCGTGGGATTACCAAGCTGGAGCTTGTATAGTTGTCAGGACAAATCATATCCTCTTGAACCTGAACTACACCTACAGCAAGTGACCCAAGTTCCCCGCTATATTTTGCCGCTCATCGAACATCTACCAGCCATGTCATTTGACTTTTTGATTTTGGTGATGACACTATTCGTTCTCAGAAAACGTTTCAGGCATGAAGATCTTTCGGGCCTTCTCCGTCGTGATGGCTTGGTTTACTTCCTCATCACATCGACCTGCAACACCATTCCAGCTGTAGGTCCTCTTCTCAGATATGCTTCCACTCAAGCTGATTTCTACATAGGTCTTAGCTGCTCTCAACCTCAATAGTGAGCCAGCCATGTTGCAATGTTTTGGGAATCAAACCTGAATTGTATTGGGACTCTTAGATGAGATGAATGTGTGAGTGGCTTCCACCATTACGCATTTTACTGGGCTAAAACAAATGCTGGACGTAGCATCGCGATGGTAAGTTGCGTGGCTGCTTTATTTACCTGGCTGAACCCTCTATTTCAGGTGCCCGCTGCTGCAGTCTCGTACGTGCTTTGTTTTGTTTTTATGGTCATTTTTTGTAACGGCGCATAGAGCTATTACTGCCTGTCGTGTGTTTATTCACCTTGATGCATACAACAAAGGCAACGGCGAGAAGGCTCACAATAACCCGTCGTTGGTTAATCACAATTCCACCTCTCCTTCAGTTAGCCCTAGAAGTCCTAGTTCATCGCCAGGTCCTGTCAGCTTCTTGCCTTTACCCAGTCGTAAGACAACGACGCCGGGGATTCGTGCCGCTATGGGCACTATCAATTCGTTTGGGTATGTACTTGGTCAAGCAAATCGAGAAGACCCAATTATAATGCGTTCCAGCCCACCACAATCCGCCAGGAGGAAGTCTTCTTACGAGCGCGACCTCACTTCGGTAGACTCCGAGTCAGACTCGAAGTCCTCACGGTGATAGGCGTTTAACCGCTCAGATTTCATGGTATATCCGCTTTGGCTCAGCCATTCGAGTGGACGCTGGACAATGGTTTTAATCACCGTTTTACACTGGATTTCACAGTTCGAGGTTGCAATTTGCAAATGTAGGAGAAATATCTGTAATCAAATAGGTTGATTCGCCTTAGTTGTTCAGTATATACTGTGACTCGGATATAGTATGGAGATAGACCTCGAGTTTTGTTATCGCAAGTATAATACTTTTGGGTGTGGTGGTATACAGATGGCATAGCGATAAGGAAGGCAATCTGATGAGACGACACTCATAGGGTCGTACGCCAGTGACCACGCATCATCGCCGACGTGACGGGCGCCCAGACCTCCGCCGCGCTGCTGGTAGTCCCTGGCGGTTCATTCTCGTCAACTTCAGTACAGGCGTCATGCCTTTTGACTTTCTCCACTCCTCCCTTCGCGAGTTCCTTGAACCGTGAGTTGAGACGCGCGATGGTTTTGTAGTTGATGATTTTGCGGAATCGTCGAGTTCCATGGTATCTAAAAAAGCAGTCAGTGGAATTTAAGATTGTGTCCAGAGAGCTTATAGACCTGGTGCCGTAGAATCATCTAGTGGGGGTAGGTGTAAGCGATGCTGACTTATGCATTAGACAAACCGAAACAAGAGAATAGATGCCTTCCCAGTATTATCGTAAAGCTTGAAAATGTGACGAACCTTGCGCAGTATCACCATCCACCGGTTCTGCTAATTCCTCATCTCCATGATCAATTTTCGCCATCAATTTTGAATTGAGTCTCTGCAGACGTGCAGCCTCAGTTGCTGCGTATACACCTTCATCGCGTTTTTTTGCTCTGAACGAGCGCTTTACTTTTGATCGAGTTGATTTTGCCATGTTGGTGACAATGTGGAAGGAAACAAATGGCTCGCAAACGAGGGGAATTTCAGGCTGATACACGTGACACATGGAATCATATCTTTCTTTCTTAGTTCGAGAACTTGCAAAAACCGTCAAAGCAGCTGCTTCAAACCATTATATCCGTTAGATAGTGGTCGTGCATTACATCTTTCGTTGTGGGGTACCAAACTCATGCCAAAAATCGGATGGTCCGAAGATAACGTGTTCATCAACTCGTGCTGCCTTTGAAGAATGACTGCCAGCGTAGAAAGTACCTCAATCAGCCGCTACCGCTGCCATTGACGGTCTGAAAATTGGGCCCCAAGTCCCCAACACTGCAGGTAATTAGTCATATTATGACGCAAGATCGTCTTTCAAGTCTAGACGCCCTCCATTGCAAGTGCAGGTTCAAGGAAGAACGACCATCTAGGTTTTTGACGCATCGCGATAAATCATGCAAGCACTATACAAACCACTCCGATCGAGTAAACTCTCGAAAGTGCTATGATACAACAAGAGTAATGGCCTCGAGCCGTCGGAAAAGATATTTTGAGCGAACGTTGCATGATTGATCATTCTGGAGGAGCTTCCCTGTAAAGTCGCGAAACATGTAAGTATAGAAAACTGGAACAGGAGAAATGATACTCATGATGTACAGTACATTGTTACACCTGCAGGAAAGCTGGTAAAAGCATTAACAATGGATCGATGAAACACATACCTGATGAAGACTTCGCCCAGAGCACCATTTGATTTCCCGTCTTGGAATTCCTCCGTGTTAGCCAGCTATACAGTACATCAGAGATCCACAGAAACAAGCATTGAACTTGTTGTTCATACCTGGAGATTCATGTACCCATCCGTACTAACAAGGAATCCTTTGTACTCGAGCCCCCATTTTAGCTTTACGAATACCGGCTTTCCAGTAAGCTCCTGCATGAAAGGCTTGGGATTAACAGGGTTGACCTAGGGTAGGTTAATATCATGACATCCAGCTATGAGCTTGTTGACGCACCGACGACATCTTGGTTGTTGATTGAGGATAGATGTAAGTAAATTCGGACTTCGAAAAAGGCAAAAAGAAACCACTACATAAAACACAACCTGTGACATATTGCTTTGATTCGCTTTTGGCCGCGTTTGTGCCAATAACTTGTGCAAACCATGTCAGACCGCGAAGGACACTCGGGAGCTGGACCGTCGGATGAAGATCTCTCGCTGCCGAAGGCAACGGTCGCAAAGATGATCAGTGGTATGTCTCAGAAGCATGTAGTTCATTTTCCGACCTCTTGAACTGTTATTCGCTCCCTATTACCTGACTCCCAGAACTACTACCAGCTGAAGTCACATGTGCGAAGGAGACGCGAGATCTAGTCATAGAGTGTTGTGTAGGTGAACATCGTCAATGATCTTCATGTGCCTCGTTAGGGCTCACATTTGATAGAATTTATTCACTTGATCTCGTCGGAGGCGAACGAGATATGTGAGCAAGAATCCAAGAAGACCATAGCACCGGAGCATATCATCGCGGCACTGAAAGTATGTTTATGATTGATCTCTATCCTCCGCTGACTTCGCTGTAGCGGCTAGGCTTCGATTCCTTTACAACTGAAGTTGAAGATGTCTTGAAAGATCACAAGCAGCAACAAAAGGTGTGTGAAGTTCATACTGTCACCCTAGCGTATGATGGAATTCGTTTCAGGACCGAGAGAAGAAGGCAGACAAGATAAAAGATTCGGGTTTAACGCCAGAGGAACTTATGGCAAAGCAAGAAGAGCTTTTTGCTGCAAGTCGTGCAAGATTCGCTCAACCGCAGGGGCAGCAACAGCCATCTGCTGAAACTTAGGTGGTGAAGCCGATAGCGGACACTCATGGTACCTGCGATTCGTATTATTGTTGTATCGGACGCTGTACACCAGTACTTCTAATGATTTTTATTTTATATTTCTGTCTTGTCGCTGCCGCAGAACTTCAAGGCGTCTATGCGGAGAGTCTTGGTTCCATTCTTCCACTCCATTGGAACCTACTGTAAGGTGTGGAAGACCAAGCTGTTGAACCGTGAAAGAGGCTGACACCGAAGCATATAGTGCTGCTAGAATGCGTGAACGACGGCCTAATTAGCTGTGCGTCGACATCATGAGTACGCTAACTCACCTTCATAGACATTTCCGTTTGTGATGGACAATCCCGCAGCGAGCCCGCCAAGAAAAGAGTTGCCAGCACCTAGTTTTTTATCAGTATGATCACGGCCATGCGAATATTTGCCCAAAGAATCACCTGTGACATCGACCACCATCAAGTTGTCAATATTCTCAGCGGAACTCCAGAATGCGTCAATCCATCGCCCTTTCTTGTCAGAGGTCATGACGTATGCACCGAGGGCACCACTGCGTATTATAACGCTTCCACTATTTTCTTTACCCACACCCATCTTCAAAAACTCTGATGCAGCATTTTCTACGGCAGATTTCGTAACAATTAACGGAAGAGAAAGCAGGCTCAGGGCCTCTTCAGCATTTGGACTAGTGTCCGGACTCCGCGTGAGCAGAAGACACTGATGCCAACTTTGTTTTGCCTACCTGAGGATTGTGATATGTGGGAGGACTGCTTTCAGCGAAGGTAACTCCTCGGGAATACATCTATCCTGCTTTATATTCGATCATTAATTGTGAGACAGAAGGTTGCACGAACAGGTATGGGTTCGAATATTGTGGTCGGGTTCCATTCTTCAACCTCTTGGATCTCTGATACTATTTGAAGCGCGCGCGTGGGTGAACAAATGAAATGAACCGAAGCAGGACGTGTAAGCCGCGTTCTTTCCAAGTCGCGAGGCGTCAGTCTGATCCGCGGAGTGATGTATTCAAAACTGTTGTCATATGGGAATATCAGATACGGTGGCGATAGATGTATGAAATAGCAACGCAACCCTCGAAATTGTCCTTTGTACGAATTCCTTGACCGAGTAGTGAGGCGATTTGTGTCGTCACGAAAGTGCCATATGTCGGAACCGTATGTCAGCAACCGATTCTGCATGTCCTGAGGGAAATCGTTTCCTCGATCGATGATCATTCCAAGGGTATCAGGAGACAACCTGCAATAAGGTCGATCTGTTCACAAATTCAAGTCACAACCCTTTAATGCTGACCAGATGCGAGCACCGATAATAGCATAGGTTCCTCCACCTCCGATCTATTATGATACATGGTGTAAGGATCAGCAGCAGTTGAATCTGTAACTAGCTTCCCTGGGGTGCTACCGTCTTTCCGGTAGGTTTCCCTTGCTCGTCTGCAAAGGAAAATTCATCAATAATAAACATCCCAAAGGTCACAAATTGAATCGTCATCTCTGGAATAGTACGTGGTATGAAACAAATTTAAACCCACAGCAAGCCTGTGTTACTGTTGCTAACCCTGCCGGTTGCTTCCGGGCATGGTGTTACCGCGGCGTCTCCACTGATATTGGTGTCTGCAACTGGATAAGTATCTAGTAATCTATACCACTCATGCAAGTTTGGAATGTCTTATACGACCCGCTCGAATTCCCCGATTCCGTGCGTGCCATGTCGTTCATGTCGCATTTCACGTCACCGTTCTGATCACATCATACGTCCGATTAGCTTTATCATACCGCATTGCCCCTAGTGGATCAGACAGCGCAGAACAAGATCACAAGGTTTTATCGCCGCGAAGATGCTTGTCGTACGTATGCAACTCAACAGGTCATATATTAGCACTGACGCCTGATTTTTCATCCAAGGATCGCTCATTGGCAATCTTCTTCCCAGAGTCTTGCTCCAGAAACGTGGCGTGGACAAAGATGACATGACTTTTGCAACCACTGATACGGGGAAGCCATACTGTGTATGTCCTTGCAAGATAAATCACCTTCATCTTGTATTGATTCTTTTTCCCCAGACAACTCCTGGAGTAGATCCTCCATTGGCTTTCAATGTTACTCATGATGAAGGCGTCATCGCCATGGCGTTCGGAACGGGCGACTTGGGACCTCCGGCATTCAACATAGGAGTTGATGTCATGAAACTCAAAATTCCTCCACGGACTACTTTTACTGAATTCGTTGACATCGTCGACAGTCAGGTGAAACGTCCGTGCTTCGTATCTTCGGGCTGCACTCATTCCCTCGCCTTATTACCGAAAGCTCACGACTCGAGAAAAGAATTTAATTCTTGCTGATGTCACTGAGGAAGAGGCGATTCGCAGGTTTTACTGCATATGGACCTTGAAAGAGGCTTATACCAAGGCTCTTGGGATTGGCCTCGGCTTTGATTTCAGAAGGATAGAATATGATGTTGTGGAGGAGAAAGTGTCCGTCGATGGAGAACCTGTGAGAGGATGGCAGTTCTTGAAATTTGAACTGCCACATTGTGGACATAATTATGTCGGCTTCGCCGCAAAGTTCGTTGGAGGGCGGGGAACAAGCATATCAGAACTGAGTGAAGGGTGTCTCGTTTGCTATGATGCTGTATCATTTGTTAACCGTGCGATCGAAGAAATGAGCTAGACAACTAGACATCTGTATCATATTAGGGATGTACTGGGAATAAATGCTATGTGTTAGACTACTACGTAAATTGACTTTGGGGGGGATGGAAATAAGTCTGCTGGCGATATATTATGCTCTAGAAGTATACGACTAAGTAGATCAATACGCAAGGAATATCTCTGAACCAAAAAGCAGGTCATCCTCTGGATGGTTCTTAATTTGAAGGGGCGCTGATTGCCAAACCCTCTTTGTGCCGTCATTTTGCTTTGCCTTAGAGCCCCAGTGCATCCCGGAGAGCTCGAATGCGTTGAGCTCCGTGAAGGACGTCAGAATGCCGGCCACCTGCTCATAAAATTCCTGTACCATGGAAATTAATGTTCCTGAGCGCTACAAATGAAAAACCATGACGACTTACGGCAGTGGGAGCCATGAAGATGTCCTTGGTTGACATCACTCGTAAATAGACTAAGTGAGGCACATGCCTGTGCAGTGTTTCCAAGAAGGGCACAGGAGGTAAATTTGTAACGGCTCCCAGAATGACTACAGGGACAGTCGAGCGGGCAAGGAGAGGAATATCATCCTCCAAAAGACCGCCATTCAGATGGATGCTCTTCACTGGACGGCCAGGAACAATTAATTCGGCTGTCCGGGATGAGCCAATGAACTGTTCCAGTTGGGGAATAGAAGTTGGAGCAAGGTAAGGGGGTGGGGACTCTCGCGTCAACGCGGTAGGGATAGAATCCACCTCAAGCTCAAGAAGCGACGGTGTCCTATCAAGGAACCGGGCGACGTTTTCATCGAAAGAAAAGGAGCAAGTGAAGTGATGCAAGTGCGGGAAGTGGATACGACTAGAGGCTTCCTTCAACACCCAGCTCACGCTCGAATCCACGAGGAGAGTGAGAGAGGTTAACTCTGACATATTAAGAATTGCTTTAGCAAGTTGGCGATAATAGGCGAAGAAGACGGGGGCAAGCGAATCTATAGCGATGTAAAAGGACCGCACGAAACGCGCGATATGCGGTTTCTTCGCAAGAGTGTCAATGACACATAAGTTTTGCGACCAGGCGGAAGCCGATACACTACAGTAGAGGACGCGTTGTGCAACTGGACAGAGAGTAGAGCATGTTTGAGCAAGAGCAGCGAGAGAAGAGCAAGAAAGATGCTGCGCAACGCTATCGAGAAGCTCTACTGGTAGGCTGTGCACGGACATGGGTGTTTGATACAACCCGAGCTGAACGCGGGACCTCTTATAAAGGTGAGCCTCGGGCGCGCAGGCACTGGATGTCTATAAAATATTATTTTTGAGTGATTGCCGTCGTGTGAAGGGAAAAGGGATGTAAGCGAATTGAACTAGTAAGATCTAGACTGAGAAAGTCCATGGATAGAGACCCGGGATGACATTGAGATGTAAGCTTAGATTTGATTGAAATTACTTAAAAATAAAGGGAAACGAGGTGGTGGGTGCCAGGCTGCCAGCAAGCATAAGTACGGAAAATTATCTTTACCGTTAATTATGTAATAACCCGCGAACTTAGCATAAAACAGTGCACACTGGTGAGCTCCAACGTGAACTAATTGCTAACATTCCGTAGTTACTGGCATCATGCGCAGTCTAAGAGGACTTTTGATCGTGTCACCATTCACGAAACAACTTTTAGATTTCAGACCCTCCTCGAAGTCGCACTATTTTCGAACTGCTCCATTATCATCGAATGCAAAGAGGCACGTTCATACGCGAGGCGAGGCTTGTTCTGGTCAGCAAAATAACGCGTTCCTCACGCGATTCTCCCGTTTTCAACGTTATACTAACTCATGTGTCATTAACAGCCCCATATCCAAAACGGACTCATACGTGTGGTGAGCTCACTCCCGCGCACGCTGGCATCCACGTCACGTTGACTGGTTGGTTACTCCCTGAGCGGTGATTACCTTTTACATATGTTCTCCTCTCAATTTGCTTACTTTTTCTAAATAAAGCAAAGTGTCAAAGACAATGTCCTTCTTTCCCATCAAAGATTCTTCTGGAACAACTCAATTGGTCTTACGCAAGGGGCATGCGAATGCTCATCTGACCGCGTTGTCCGAACTTCCTGTAGAGTCGATTATTGCGATCGAGGGTGAAGTCCTCGTAAGACCAGAACTATCTCGCCGTAATGTCAGTGGAGCCTTTTTTCTCACAAGCCGTCATCGTTCTAGACGCTCATCCAAAGTACCATCAAGGAAGGCACAGGACAGATTGAGGTCCAAGTAAATAACTTTACTCTCCTCAATCCTGCACATCGTAACATGCCATTCATACCGTCGGACAATCAGACATTGGTATGCGGGGTGACGCGGAGTTCTTCCACTATTAATGAGATCAATAATAGGTCAATGAAGACCTTAGAGCACGTTTTCGATATCTTGATCTTCGCAGGACTGCTCTTGCGGACAATATCAGAAAAAGAAGCCAAGTTTCTCGAATAATTCGCGATACTCTGCATGACGATGGTGCGTGCTCTTGATATCCGTCAAATGTCCTAAGATCACAGTCATTTCTAGGCTTTCTTGAAGTAGAGACTCCACTGCTTTTGAAGTCAACGCCAGAAGGTGCAAGAGAGTTTTTGGTTCCGTCCCGCGTCGGCCAATCAACTGCACAGCATGATGGAAAACAAACCCCCCTATTCTACGCTCTTCCGCAGTCTCCACAGCAACCAAAACAGCTGCTTATCTGTTCTGGAGCTGTTGACAAGTATTTTCAAATAGCCAAGTGCTTCCGTGATGAAGATGGTCGGAAGGACAGACAACCCGAGTTCACGCAAATCGACCTAGAAATGGCATTTGTCTCGTGGGGTGTGGATTCAAATATTTTCTCATCTAATACATGGCGAATTGGAGGCCACGAGGTTCGCACCGTAATCGAAAAGCTTGTTCGACGCATATGGCAGAAAGTCGAAGAAATCACACTTCCGAGCTCGTTCCGGGTGATCACCTACAACGAAGCAATGGCACGTGTAAGCTAGCAATTTACCGATCGAGGAACATTGTAATTTGGTCATATTAATGATCGTTTAGTATGGCTCAGACAAACCCGACACTCGGATCGATCTGGAGGTTGTGTGGGCTGCTTGTGCACTGAATAATGCTTACACCGCCTATACCAGATCCAGGATATTACGCCCTCGCTACCAATTCATGCTCGTGCATCGTTTGAAGACCTTGGGGACATTCTTGAGGCGATCATTCTTCGTCCATCTGAGAACTCCTCGTTCTTACGGGCAAGTCAAGAATGCGACTACGAGAACGAACCAAATATCGTCAGTCATCACCTCTTGGTCAATATCGATAATTTCACATGATCAGTTTATAGAGCCGCTCTGTGATCGCCGATAGTAATTTGTTAAATTGGTTGTGTGATAACCGGTCTATCAATCTGAGGCTGAGCAGCGAGGAGCATGCCCTTTTGAATAAGACGTTAGGAGTCAGTAGCGGCGATACCATATGGCTATCTCGTCGTCGCAAAATCCCCGAGGTGTGCCTCTATACTATCTCCGGTGCTTCCAAGTTATGTTTACATGTGGATAGGGCGGGTCCACTGCTCTGGGTCGCCTCCGAACACGAATATCTGAGTTGGCACATGCCCGCGGTATGTGCTGTTTACTATTGTAGCGGAGAGGCATTCATGCCATTCGTAGGTGATTACGTACCCCCCACGATTCCTCACTTCCTATGGGTCACCGAGTTTCCACTATTCACTCGCGCCGATCCTGACAAGGAGTTTTTGGCTCGTGGGCGATGGAGCAGCACACATCACCCTTTCACAGCGCCGATGTGGCAAGATATAGAAGCTATGTATGCAGGCCGTATCGATCAGGTTCGTGCTAATCCGTTTTGCCAGAGTCCTTCGCGCCAGGAGCTTATCCTTAGTCTCGACCTTACTTTCAGGTTCGGGGACAACATTACGACCTAGTTCTGAATGGCGTTGAGATTGGTGGAGGCTCGGTTAGGGTACACGATGCTGCGATGCAGGAGTACATCTTTTCCCAGGTTTTACAGGTTCGGTTCTCTGTCTCGCCCCTGTGGCGTGTTATACTTTGTCCCGACTGATGTCTTTTTTTTTAGCTGAGTGATGCCGAGAAGTCGTCGTTTGATCATCTATTACATGCTCTCAAATGCGGTGCACCTCCTCATGGCGGAATTGCTCTCGGTAGACCAATCAAATTTTTTGTAACGTACGCACTAAAAGCTGACAAAAAGCTCCGATCTAGGTTTTGATCGCCTGATGGCTATCCTTTGCAGGACGTCAACCATCCGAGATGTCATCGCTTTCCCAAAAACTGGCGCAGGCACAGATCTACTTTTCAGGAGTCCGGCGGCCATCAACGAAGAGGTGCTATATCAATATGGTGTCCGACCCACACGATGTTGAAGCATGTCCCGGTGCTTTTCGGAGAATCTAATCAGATGATTATCATAACTAACGACCACATCCGTGAAAAAGGTATCAATGTCCTCGTCAGCTGTTTGTGCACTACATAAACGATCATATCTTATCGTAAACACAAGCAATAAAAATTATAATACGCAATTACTAAACATGTGTGAATTGTGGTGTTTCATCTGACTGCGGGTGGGAAATGTGACTGAGGTCAGATTCCCCAATGTCACTCTGAGTAGAATGTTTTATCGTCGAATCGACTAACGTGGACTGGACTGGAGTGGCATCATCCGTGATGGAAGTATATGGTGATGTGCCATAGGTAAATGACTCCCAACTCGTATCAGGTTCGAGAGTCCCTCCATGTATATCCGGCGGTGAAGTCTGGGATTCTGAAGGAGGTGCATCGATAGGGTCACTCGAATGACGAACGTGTGTCTCGTCAATTACTGAAAGAACACTCCGAAGCTTAGACTCCGCCTTCCGTGCGTGTTGTGTAGTGCTCGGCGGATGCGACTGACGACGCTTAAGTTGGGTGGAGGGTGATGCCGACCGATTAGGAGTTGAGGAAGGAGAGACAGAATCAGCCCATTCCGAAGTT